AGTCAAACATTTTTGAAAACTCTTGTGTAAACCTTTTCCAATTTGATTTTATTTCTAGGGGCAATACTGAAAACCATTTTTGGGCTGCGCCATCTAAAGTTGTTTGTATCAACGCTGTGCGTCGATGTATCCAGTTTTGATGTAGTGGCGTATTAATTGGTTCAGGTCCTATATATTTAAAATCAAATTTGCTGTTACTGCATTTAGATAATCTTCTACAGAGTACTCAGGGTCTGTTCCAGTGAATACCATTAAAGGTTTATTTGATGTTATTGATGATCCACCCATAAGGTATGGATTCATTGTCATTTGTAATGATTCTGCTGCATTTGGCATTTGAGAAAAATTTGAAAGTTGATTTCTTGTTATTTCGTGTTGTTGAAGATAATATGGGAGTGGTATTTCATTTTGCTTTTGTGTTGGTTGATACGAGTGTGTAATCATTGGGTTTTGTTGCTGAATTGGTTGTTGATGTTGTGTATCTATCGGTTGTGGAGAAAAAATTCTATGATTTGTATGTGGTTTCTGTACTCCTTGTCCACGATATTCTTGATTATATGGTGCAAATATGTCTGGTTGTAAGAAATCATCATCTGAGGATAAATAATCCATTTGATGAGATGTCTGTTTTTTATTTTTATTTTGTTGAAAAAATGGGTAATTTTCACTACGATCCTGTGAAGGATGTAAATTTGTTTGGAAATTTACTGAATTAGGTGGTGCCATTGGGTTATCCCAATTTCGAGGTCTTGTATAAGTACTAAAAATTTTTCGTGGTTGATAATTTGTTTTTGATGGATGTGTGTAATTATAATTATGGTCTGCAAAATTGTTTCTAGTGAACGTTTTGCGTGTTTTTGACGGTATTGTCATGGGTCTATATGTTTGGTAATCCATGTGTGAATATTTTGGGGCAACCGAAGGTTTAACGGTTGATTGTAAGGTTACCTGTGTTTGTGAAGGGTTTGTATTTCTTGGTGTTGTCAAGTTTGGACGTATTGGTGAAATACTTTGTTGTGTAGTTGTTGTGTGTACAATTTCTTCAGTTATGAAGTGTGATGGTGTCTGGATATCTTGTTGAGTAAGATTCCTAGTTCCATTGAGGCTTTCATTGTGTATGACTGTAGAGTTTAAACTTTTATTTTGCATATCGGGTAAAAATGTATTATAGTTTAATGGTGTTGCATCAATGGTTAATGGTATTACTCTTACATAATCTCTTATGTAAGATATCGTACTTATTGCTTGACTTGAGATTGATTGTGGGAAGTTTATAAATGCGTGATGAGACCATTCGGGGTCCCATACATAGTCTGATTGTTCTGTGATAGCGGTATCATCGTTTGAGTTTTGGGGTCTAAAATTTTTTCTTGCTTGTGAAATTAAATCAATATTGTGTGTGAAATAATCTATTATGAACCATGCCAAAATTTTTTGTAGGTCATGTTTTGTATGTTGTGAAACTTCGTCTTTCGTGAAATTTTCTTTAATGATGTTTAGATAACTAGAGAGTAGTGTAATTTCATGTCGTACTCTTATATGTTTAGATGTTTCTGTCGGTGAGACATTTGGTATTGGGATTTCGTTTTCTAAAATCGAGATATAACTATATATTATTGCGAAAACTTCATTGGTGAATATGGAGTTTGCTCTTTGTGAGTTATGATATTGGATGCTTTTGATATATTCTGAAAATACTTTTGAAAATTCTAAATCAAGGTCGTCTGTTTGAATTGTATATTTACTGTGATTCTGGTTTGGTGAGGTGAATTCTATGGAGTAGATTCCGTATTGTTGTGTTAAGTTACATATATCTTTTAGATAGTGATCGATAATTTGTCTTTTGATTTTTACATCTGGGAACTCTGTTTTGCATGGACTGATTCCGGGTTCAAATAAATTTAAGAGTAAATTTTTGCAAAATATATGTTGTCCTCTATCTGTGGTTGCATCTACTGTAAAAGGAAAGATATCATCATCATCTGGACTTTCTTCACCTGGGGTGTGCGTTGAGCTCATTTTTTCGTTCGATGACTGTTAATATGTAATTATTAATGTGTCTAATTGGTTGATTCCAATTGTATAAATGTACTGGTTTGTGTTTATACTGCTTTTTTATTCTTCTTTTTCCTCTTTTTGATGAATTTGAAGTTGTTTCTGAGTCAGAGAAATATAATTGATTGTGAATTGGGCAATTTTTATCTATTGATTCTTTTAGTTTGTAAAGTTCGTCTAAACTGTTGGTTTCTGATTCTGAAAATGCGTTTCGGTTTTTTGAAAATCTTTTTCGTGTTATTTGTCTTTGTTTAGTTATTATTTTTCTCTTTAGTGTTTGTCGCTTTGTTCGAATATATCCAACTGTTTGTGTATGAGGTGTGATTACAAGGTCGTATTTTGTTGTTATCTATTTCACAATTGTGTAAAACGATTGTTTGTTTATTTCCTAGGTTTTTAAATGACATAAGTTTTAGGATGACGGGTGCAAAAGGTTGTTAAGTGAATTCTATTTGCTTAAACTGTTAGTCCTTACGATTTTTTGGTTAGCTTAACCTGGGTCTATTTGTTCAGGGTTGGAGAGAAAAGTATATCTATTCCGAAGAATGATTTTTACTTTCTCGTGACTAATATAAGCTAAGGTGTTAACTTACTTAATCTTACTTAGGGGTAGTGATTGTGTTCAAGGGTTGGAGAATAGTAAATCGATCCACAAGGTTCAGGTATAATTAGAACGCGAGTAGTTCGTTAGATACTATTTTAAACTTACTAAGTCTAAGATTTATCCTGGGTCTGGTAAGAGGGGGGGTCAAGTGAAGGATGAATAACCGAAGTTCTTCACTGTTTATCCTAATTTGAATGATTAGTTTTGTTTAAAAATTTCTATTAGTCTTGGGTCTTTTAGAAAGGGTTGGATAGTGAATCGACGTTTGAGGTCGTTAGACACTAGTTAAGTGGGTGGGGGAGAACAAAGTTGTTCTTTTTGATCCAAGGATAGGCCTTGATGATCAAATTTGAAATTTAATTAAGTAGAAAATGATTTAAGATCCAAGGATAAGCCTTGATGATCTGATTTTAAAATTAAGTGAATTTAAGTTTTAATAAAGATTTAAATTTGTGTAAAGAAAAGATTTAGTGTTTTGATGATATTAGTGAGTTTATGAATGCTGTTATGTTTAGGTGATGAAGCTGGAACAACAGGATGATTTGTGATTACTAACCATTTATTGTCATGCTACTAATTTTTATTTTTATTTTCCAATAAATATTTTTCAAACATGTTTTATATATTACTGCAGAATTTAAGAAAACGATCTGAGATCTTTTTATCAATCGTTATTGTATATTAATAATTTTGTTTAGCGCCTGAAATGATTTTGAAGGTTGACTTCAAGGTTTTATGTTTGCAAATGAAAATCTAAATTCATTGCGAGTAGTATTCTAAATACAAAAGTTTGTTCTGGCTTTTGCCGAACTATCATATAACTATATGGCAAGTTTCTACTTTGTCGTATGTCGTCTCTGGTTCGAGGTCTTCTTCCAATTCCGGGTAGTTCTGTTATGGTTCGGAATATTGGCTCTGATCTATTGAGTCGTAGAGACATTTCGATTAAATTATCGTCGTATAACATTTTGTAAATGTTTTGTCTAATTTCTAATCTATTTTGGTTAATTCTAAGCTATTAAGGTCTTGTTCGAGACTTATGGTCGCACCAGATGAGTTATGACCGATGGGTATAACTCATAGAGTAATTTCGGATAGGGTACACCGTCTGCTCGTCACGCTATCTTATTTTCGGCCGGATAGATTCGTGCAACTTCTTAGTCTAATACCGATCCTAATCTTACTCTTATACTATCTAGTCTCAGGTTGTTTAACTAGTCTCTGCTAGGCTCAATAGATCTAGGGTATACTGGTTTATTGCGGCTGCTGAAGTACTCGGGAGAGTCCAACTAATTTCTAAGTTAAATTCAAATCTCTCTGGTGCTGAAATTACAAGTAATTTCAGCACTTACAAATAAGTGTATTGTTAGTTAGATGGATCATGATTGGTTAATATTAAATACTTTACATTGGTAAAATATCTAAATTATCCAATCATAAAATGTAGTTTAGATCAGGTTCCACTAGCTGAGATTCCTAGTTTTCCAAAGAATACTTTTAGGTCCAAAGTTTCAAAGTGCTTGTCCTGTTTACTGGGAGCTTTTGGCACTAAAAACACGGTCGCCCTCTAATTAAATGATCAAACGGCGCTTGTCTAATTTTTAAGGCCTTTTTTTAGGCAAATTTTTGAAAAAACAGGTAAAACTGCCGTTTTTGGGCACTTTATGGAAAATGTCGACAAACAAATTGCGTTTTTTTTGGCGCGCGCTTCCCCTCAAAGTTAGTATATATTGGGTTGGCAGGGGTCGAATCCCTGAGAAGGGGGCGTCCGCCCGCCGCCGCCCCCTTAAATCCGCCCCTGCCTGTGACTGTAGCTTGAAAAACACTGGCTTTTAAGTTTTTCTTATTTTTTTAACTGAGTCGTAGCCTTTCAGTTGTGTAATTTAAGCTAGCGTCCAAGTCTTATTTTAGAGGTAAAGTGGCCATGTCTTAAATAATTTGTTAGTCGCTTAAGTTTGTGTTTGCCGCTATAACAACCAGTTTCTGATCAACTGGCTAAAGTTTGTGTTTAACGCAGTTCTACGAGTTCTAACTTTGCTTTTAACTCAAAGAAAAGTAAACTATTGCAGCAAATTTAGGGCGGATTTGCCTTCATCATAGGTTCTCTCCTTTGGTACCATTTTACCAGCATTTCCTGTAGTATTTATTGGACAACTAGGTTTTTTGTGTTTAGGGTAATTTTGGAAAAACATTTTGATCGACATGTTTAAAGCGTGACAAAATTTCCCAAAATCCGCCTGCTCCCCTCGAGAAAACCCGCCTCTGAGATTGTGTTCTCACAATTCTTGCGAACAGAATACTAGGGATATAAAACTAATGATAGTGTAAAATTCATTTTTTTTGCATAGTAAATTCACGATGAAAATGTTTCAACCAATGAAAACAAGGAACGATGCGAAACTAAATTTAAGGAAAAGTATTGAAAATATGTTGATTGAAGCATGGACGGCTGACGAGCAGTATGGACTGTCACGTGATCCCGTGGGCTCTAAATCATGGATAGCTGAGGGACATTTTTGGTCGGAAAAAGACTGCTCGTCTTTCTCACGACACAAATCTCTTTCCTTCTTCCAGTAATTCTTCGGTTTTGGCTGTTTCGCAGCGCAGAAATCCTGACCGACCGCTACAGAAATAAGAATCAAGTTCGTGCCATCAAGTCTTTCGAGGTTGAAATAATCATCTTCATTTGCACAAATTGAGCACCCGCCATTCTCATTCGGAATTTTGGAGTAAATTAAATTCCATTTCGAGTTTCCAAATAGACTTTTGACCTTTTCGGTATATAGGTATTTGTCGAAAGCTATTGTACAAAGCGACTGCTGTTGCTCGGTTTTGAAATTGAACAAAACATCCTTGGAATCGACAAATTTTGAAGAATCGATAACTGTAAAAAATTCAACTAAAATTGACTGACATGATGACCATAAAAGGACATTAATTGCAAACATGATTGATGAAAGTAATTTTAAGGCACTGCTGATAATGAAATAAAATATATTAGAGGGAGAACGAGTCGAAAAACTTTTTTTGGGTTTCTGGGGCGCCTCTTGTGGGCAAAAACAGAAGGCGTCTTCGTAAACATAATGTTGATAAATTTCATATTTCACCAGTGCGTTCATAAGGCATAAGTTGTACATAGACAGGTGATCTCCAATGTGTATATGCTGCGTTTGTTCACGCTCGTTCTTTCTTTTGAAACCAATGACTGATGCGCCTTCGTCTAAGGCGTAACACACTTTTTCTTTGCCACATTCTTCGTCGAATCCATTGAAAATTTGGTTCAGCAGCTTTTGGTGTTCCAAAACTTGGCCGTAAAGACCAAAAGGAGGTAAGTCCCAACTCTGCAGCAGCCGGGTTACAGCCAGGGCGCCATGTTTGTATTCAAACTCACGGCTGCTAATACCCGCGCATTTCACCCCGGCCACTGTGTGTCCGGGCTCGTCATCTGTTGAAAACATGATTAAATTTTTGTCCCCGAAAAAATCGCTCATAAGTAGATTTCGTTTATACAGCGAAGACTCTTTAGGATCAGCAACATGAGCCCACCAATCCGATTGCGCTAATTGGGAGTTCAAAGTGGCCGAGGCACCTCCGAATGTGACGACGAAGTCGGTGTATTCCGACTGCCGAGGCGAAGAAAGATATCTCTCAACTATGAAGAGCGAAGCGAGAAGATTTTGAAGAAGTTGCGAGTCGTCGTGCTGGTCGTGAGCGAAATCGCAGGTAGATGCATCAATGCCCACGTACATGAGGTCTTGGATCTCGGTTAGAATTTGAGTTGGGTCAGTGGCCTTTGACAAGTTCAGCTTCGGTGGGCAATAAGGCCACGGAGATATGTATACGTGAAAACAACCCGGCTCACCTGTTTTGTTTCCACAGCGAAGGTCTTTAGACTCGATTGCGCGAGCTAACAAACTTGTCACACTTGGGTTTATAAAAAAAGAATCTTTCAGCGCATCCATTTGTAAAATTGGTTCGGAAAAATGAGCTATTCCTATATAAAGCATTTCGTGAAATCGACTCTCCCTGTAGCGAAAAACCTCGAAAACAGCTTTTCTTTTGTAAACATAGAGATCAATGTTCGTGTATAGGTCAGCAACCACTTTGCTGACTTCACTTTCTCCATTCAAAAGTCTTTGGTAAAACACTTTAGACAAAGTTTGGTTCACAAAATTGAAGGCACTGCTAAACTTAACTTTGAGCTGATGATGTTCGAAATTGTAGGTGACAAAAAACTTGAGCACGGGATGAAGTTGCAAATTTCCGCGTGAATTCATTACAAATGCCACAGAAAGAGGACCCAATCGTTCGACGAACAAGTACTGGTCCAAATCTCGAAGAGCGATGTCGACGCCAGTGACGCCGAGCAGCTTGTTTTGGGCATTGGGCTGGGGGCCTGGGTACTGTACTTGTTGTGTTATATCGGCGTCTGACGCATTTATGACTGGGCATGTTAATGACCACACCAGTCCGAGATGCCCTAAAGTTACCCACTCTTTTTCTTGCGCGATGAGAGTTCACTTATTGTGTAGGTTGAACTTTGATTAATATAATAATAAATTGTTTCCAGTATAGGTTCACCTTTATCAATATAATTTATATAAATGACCACTTGAAATAACCCAATCTGGGAGATCGTCATTAGAAAAATTCTGCCTGTTTTCAGACGTCTCTGAGCGCAAAAAGAACAGATTTTGATTAGGATGGTGGTGTAATACTACCGTTTTTTTTCTATTGCAATTGCTACACCGGTTTAATTGCTACACCGCACGAAGTAGGAGAATCAAGTCGCTGCCAACTTACGCAAAGTGGTGCTATAAGTTATTTTTGAGGTAGAAATTTTTGTCAAAACCTTTGATATACAAAACTGCATTACTGTGACACATTACGCATTTATGCCATCGATTGAAAAAATAATCATAAACCGACAAACTGGGCAGTGCAGTTGCCAAAATCAGTTTCAGTTACAGCAAAACAAAAATTTGCACGCGACTGTGGTCGGAACATTCTGGGCTATTGGAAAAGCCACCGGCTATTCCTGCTAACGGCTATTCCGGCTATTCCTGTTGACGAGAATAGACGGTTGCTTTACAGTTAGTAGAGAATGCGCCTATTACAGTCGCGTGCGAAACTTTGTAAACTGTATACTTATACCTGTGGTCCACCTCTGGACAACAGCTTCGGATAGTCTGTACACTTTGTAGTAATCTATCGCATTGGGGGTGGACATGACTCTAATGTACTGCACGGCACTGGAGTGCACAGCTTCCATAGAAGGCACGGCGTGAAATAGCCCCTTAGTGTGACACGCAACCCACTTCATGTAGTAGTCCTGGTAGGATGCCGCACCCTCCACGTAAGTGAACACCCGCACGTCTTTGTTCACGGCATCGCCCAGGTTAGAAAACATGATTTGAGTGTCGCCTTCTCCTCCGTCACTGATTACCATCACTAAATAGTTTCGCGAAAATATAGCTCTATTTTTAGCGCATATTCCTTTCCACGCCCCCACAGCAAAAATATACCCCCATTCAAAAAAAAGTAACAAAAGCAATTCAGCTCAAAATACCAAAATCAGAGTTAGGTGATCATTTTATAATAGGTTGTCACCATACTGGGAGACTGCAGGTGTACTTGGTTCCTTAATTCAGTATCCAAATAGACTTACAATAGTCTGTTTAAAGAAGAAATTATGGTAGCTCAAAATACCAAGAAAAACTTTTAAAATACGAAATATTTAGTTTATGGTGCGTCTGTAATGTTGGGAGAGGACTCCAATAGTATTTTGTTCTTTTCCAGTATGGAATCCCAGGCCTTGCAACAAAAATTTACAGGCCCACCAAAGCATCTCGGTTCTCGTGTAGGTATTAAATTGCTGTTTATCTAGATCATTAACACTAGGAAGGAAAAGAAATAGGCGTCCCAAAACTGAAAATTGGTCACAGCTTTTTTCCTCTCTGTATTCGGGAGGACTTTGATTTGGGGCAAATTTTCTCTGGAAAATTAGAACTACAAAAAACGCCAACTGGAGTCAAGTGAAGTAACATATGCAGGAATCATACTCTCACCGCTTAAAAGCCTCCTTTGGATACTGTTTTATAAAACAATTTTTTGACGGCCGACCCTGAAAACTGTCTAAAGGAGAATTTGGAGACAACATACACTAAATTAAGTGGATATCGCAAGCCTAAAAACCCTATTTTTCGGTCAAATTGTACTAAAAAGTGGTCGAAAAGGCTTTTTTGCGTTTTTTTCCAAACAACTGTTTTATAAAGCTTTGAGAGAGCTCAGAAATGAATTTCGACAGCATAGGAAAAAAATCGACGAAAGGTCCGAATTTTTTTTCGAAAAACTGCCCCTTAACAGTTCCTCCGCACTGGTTCTGGTACAACTAAAACAAATGGTTGATAAATCCACCAAAAATCCACAATAATTATATTAGACAGCGAAGGGTTTTGGATTCAGCTTACATCTGGCATATAGTTCAATTGGTGATTTTACGCCCCAACGTGTCAGAAACGGCTTTGATCTGTGGCACGCGCTAGTTCTTTTCTCCACTCGAGGCAACCGGCAGAATAATTGTTCGCTTGCATTAAGATTACAAAAGTTGATTAGTAAAGGCGGGACTTGAACTTATTCTTCAACAGACTGGTTCAAAACCTAGATTGGTAAAAATTAAGCACGAATTACCTCTTGACCTCTTCGTGAACACTTACGAATATCACTGCAAGTGTATCCCGCGTCTTTCCGCTTCCCTCGCTCTCGCCCGAATGCCTCATATGCAGTCCTGAACATTCCCTCAAAATTAGCAATATTCCTTGTATCAAATGGAATCCAAACCAGTTCCTTCAGACGCTCTTGGTTTCTAGGAGTCGCCTGGATGAACTTCATAGGCTTGTTCCCATTGGTCGGTTTTTGCGTCACATCATCGGTTGCGTCATCCGCGTCTGAAGCAGTTGTTGTGTCATCTGTTACGTCATCGACATCGTCAACTTCTCCATTGCAAGTTATCATGGGGTGAACTTTGTCATTGAAAAACACTATGCTCACAAAGTCTTGGTCCGTTAGAGTATCTAAGCCAAAAAAAACATGAAAATTGATATAAAAGTTAATTAAATCATGCAGCACGTTAAAATTTATACATCTTGGTACCCACCACTAGTTTTTTATTCATTTTAAAAAAAAAAGACACGATCTGATAGATGTGTGTTCTTATTTAGTTAACATGTATGTTTCTAAAAATCAGAAAAACGTTTAAAAATGTAAATGCTATTGGACGAAGTTTTTGATCATTAATTTTTCAGCGATTGAACAACTTTTTTCCGCGGATTCCGTTTTTTATACTGGACTTAAATAAAACCAGGGCACAAAATATATTCATTTTCCACAATTACCGTACCCAGAAGAATGATTGCCGTTTGTCTAATGAGCTTGTAAACTGAGCCAGTTACGCTTCCACTGCTGTCTAATGCAATGATGACAGTCTTGGAACTGGTGGCGGTGTTGATGTACCAGTCCTGCAGGCGAGAGTCGTATACCTGTAACCAAACCAGTTACTCGACAATCATCTAGCGAAACTGTTAACATCATTGATCCTGGCGGGAGAAGGGTAATATACGAGATGCGGCAAGAGCACAAATTACTAATCAAGTCAATGGTGACTGACTTCAAACCTAGATCTCTTAATGCTAGTTAGATTCTTTAGTAGTTAATAGCAAGTTCTTGACAATAACGGTGATCTTGAACATCTTCATCGATCAAAAAAAGCACTTTTAAATTAAATAAAAAAATTGTTGCGGTTCTTAGTTCTAATAAAAAAAAATGTTTGCTAACTCCACGTGAGCATTTGGATGTTAATTGATTTTGGATTCGTTAACTGAAAATAAGAGTGTTGGCAACAATTTTACATTAACTGTATTTGTAGTATCTTCACCATTAGAACACCACTTTGGTCAATCTTGGTTCCAAAGTTAATAATTCTGCCAGTTTGCTGGTTGTTGCTCACCTTACTCATCAAAAAGGGACTCATCGGGTAGAGTCGGAAGAGCCCACTGGCCATGGCGAAATACTGCCAGGTTGGCTGGAACTTTTCATGGTCGCTGAGGAGGGGGGTTTTGAAGATGAAATCGATTTCCTGGGTCCAGTGAAGGTCTCTCCGGATGTCGCGGGATCCATAGTAGATGTCTGTCGGTATGTGGACTGAAGTGCCGTTCAAGCTTACCAGCCTGTCGTGTCTAAAATATGCCTGTCGTGTCTACCTGTCGTGTCTACGTTCTCGATATAATGGTAAAATTTATTCGAAGTAGATCAAGGCTATCGTTCAATTTTTCAATACTGTGTTTGTTAGACACTCTCTTCTTTTGCTCCAAGAGGCGGACTAGGGTAGAGGCTTATGGCATTTTTAGGCTCTTTTTGGAAAATTTTGACCAAAAAAATCACGTTTATTTTGGCGCGCGCTCCCCCCTAAGTTTAGTATATTTTGGGACCGAAGGCGCCTTAAGAAATATTTTTGGGTCCGTTAACCAAAAATGGATATCTTGAAATAGTACAAAGGGGAGACCCTAAATCCGCTCTTGCATGTAACTTTGACTGGCGGAACTCCATCTTTTCTTACGGTCGCTTACGGCCAACATGCTGAGAACCATTTCAAACCGAGTGTCAAAATTTAACTTAATTCATGGCTGAATATTAGTTCTCTCGCTTCTAAACAAAATATCCAAATAATTATACAAAAAAAAAACTTGAACTTTTTGCAGTGCCACTGAGGTTGTAAAATTCCTCTCTACAGCTACCCATTACTTTTTGTAGTACTGTGGCTTTAATCTGCAGCTTAAAATCAACTTTAAACTTCCAACAACTAAAAACTTCGGTCGAACAGATTTGTCAATTGAAATTAGTGGTCATGCAGTCCAAAAAAGTTCCAGGTGCTAGGTAATAAGTAAATCAAAAGGCTCCGACCACAATTAATTTTGAAATGAAAATCATCTTTAACTTTCAATTTTTTTCATTTTGTGCCCCTATTTTGTACAAGGAAATGAAAAGAGGAATTAAAGTCTTCTCAGATTTTCTGTTATATTTGATTTTAGTTGCTTTGGCAACATCTTTAACGACGATGAATTTTTTTTCAAAAACATGAAAAAAAAACTGTTTTTTTTTTGTCAATTTTATTTGTCAAAACTTCGTCAAAAAAAAGAACAATGAAGGAAGCTTTAAAAACTAGTTTTTCATTGATAAAAACTTTTTCAATTCAGTTAGGAGACTTCAAAAAAAAATTGAGTTTTATAAGCAAAATCAAACTTTCCTACCGGTTTTCAAATGCTAGTTAATAATCTCTATAGCTTCAGTGTACAATTATGAGATTCATTCGTCTAAAATATTCATGATTTCTACATTCTCAGAATGGCAAAAAACTAAAATTAGATTACAGCTGTTTTTCATTTTTGTTCCGACCATTTGAAAAATGGAGAAAAACTTTGAATTCGGGTGTGATTTAAGCTTTTTGTTTTCCTCGCAAAATTTGTTTTCCTGGCCCTTTCAGTCATGATTCGAACGAAACTTTAAAAAATAAATTGAGCGAGCAAGCTTCAAACAGCTTATTAAGTCGTGAAAAAAATTCCAGAAAATTCAAAAATAATCTGCACAAAATGAAAAAAAAAATTTATTTTTTTTAGTTTTAGTTTTTGTAGTCATTTTTGTACAATCATTTTTTTCCAATTTGTCTAATTTTTTTAACTATCAAATATGCCTAAATTATTGTTTTTAATTCAAATCTCTTTCTCCCACTACGCAGAAAAAACAGCACTGATTTGAAAAAAAAAATGTAGTTTTTTAAAGACTATTGTCGGAACATTCAGTGCTACTTGCACGGTAACAGGTTATCCTTGTTGTTTATTGTGCTTATCAGGCACACTTTTCAGGTCAAAATTTAAAGAGAATTTCATACAAGAAATAATTTTTGGTTCCGACAACTGAAAATGGTGAAGAACTTTGTACTTGGGTGTGTTTTAGTTATTTTTTTTTTGTCATTTTCCACGCAAAATCGGGAACTATCGGACTGGGTTGATGATATATTATATTCAAGTCCTTTCAATGAGGATTCGAACAACTTAAAAAATTCTTCAATTTCCCCAAGCGTCGAAAAAAAAACGTTTTCAATTTTTTTGTGAAGTTTCGAGAGAGTAAAGCGAGCGAGCATGTTTTTTTTAATCAAAACACTTGCCATGAATAATCAAAAAATAAATCGATGAAATGCTTTAGCATTTTAGAGCATTTTCAGCCCAAATTTGAGCGACATTAAAAATCGAGCACATCAAACGGATAATTTTTTGTCTGGCGTAAATTTCAGCATTTTCTGCTAGCTTACGGCCAACATGCTAAAAGTCATGATGTTCCTCACCTCTCACAAGCATCAAATTAGTCTTTGAACAAGGGTTTTCCTATGAATGAAACAACCGCTACGTGACGTGATTCTGACTCTGAAAAAACATTTGAAAAAAGTTTCTTAAAATTTGTATTTTTAAGACTTATTTACCGCTAGGCTGATATGAAGGCTAACTAGAAATTTTGAGTGTCTGATGCATCTATTTTCTTTTTAATGAAAAATAGTCAAAAGATTGAAATTTTTGAAAGTTGAACATCAGTCTTCTTGTTTATTAAACATGATCAAAAAATACATAAGCATCACCTTTTTGAATGTTTTGCAATATTCCGCTCTACAACTTTCAATTACCTTCCGTAATGCAATGACTTCAATGTACAGCTTGTGAAAACTAAAAAAAACTAACCGTCTAATTGACAATAAATTTTCAAGTTTTTCAAAAAAATAGTCGATTGCCAAGATTTGTCAAATGAAATCGCTGGTCATGCAGCCAAAAAAGTTACGGTCTCTAAGCAGGTAATTCAAAAAGTTTCGACCACAAAGGTTTTAAGAAAAAAATGATTTTTTTTTCAATTTTTGTCGTAATTGCTGCATGAAGTGGGGAGAGAATTTAAATTTTTCCTAGAGTTTTTTAACTGTTTTACATAATTACAATGGCTTTTGAAAAATTTATTATGAAAATCAATTTTTTGATATGTAAGGAAAAATTTATTCTTGCTGTTTGTCACACTTCTTTTTGAAAGTTTGAATTTTATTAGAGGAAACAACATTTGACGCTTTAGAAAAAGTTTTTCAAAAGTAAAAACTTTAAATGAGTGAAAACTTCAAATAAGTGAAATTTTAAATGTAAGCTGAACTGAAAATGATTTTTTTTCCAATTTTTCTCAAGAAAAGGTTATTTAAAAAGTTCTTACAGTTCCAATGTAAGGTTTTTAAAATAATTTTAACCGAAAAGCAGAATTTTTTCTAACGGATTTTCTCAATGATTTTCCTGTAATGTTTTAAGAAACTATTTAGCAAGAAAACGATCAATTTCGTTATGTTTTGTGGTTATCTGAAATTCGCATATCAAGGTTCGTTATTTACTTTACTTATGGATTTGAGTTTCCAAAAAATTTTTTTTGCCAAAACAATTCAAAGTAGCACCCTTCAAAAGTTTTTAATCAAATTTTTGCAAATTCCATTTTTTTACGTTTAACTAACACGTAATGGAATTTAAAAAACATCCAAATAATTCAAATCTAGGTCCCGAAGAACCCCCCACCCTAAACATTCTGTTTTTTTAGAAGTGTTCAGTGCAGCTGTCAAGTTGCTATTGTAGAAAACAGGTTTAACGGCGTTACTGAGCAGTTTTTGTAGGCTTATCAGAAAGTTTTTTGCATGCTCTTCTTCTAAAAAATTAGACTCTATTGGTACCTGAAGAGCCATTGAAAAATTTACGATGTTTAGTTAAAAATTTTTACAGAAATAGTCGCAAAAGGAGGAGTCTCCTGGAAACTTTATTCGGAGGTGTTTTTCAATTGTTTTAGAAGAAATTAAAAAACGAGCTTGATCGATCTAAAAAAAATCGAAGATAACTTCCTAAAACATTTTCAAACATATTTCAAAAACGCTGAATCACCGCCTCTCAAACTTTCTACAAACACGGCATTTTCTTGGATGAATTACTTTTTTGTACGAGAACCAAATCAATATTGTGAGCTCTGCTCGAATTTTTTCATATTTTTTGATTTTACTAAAAAAAGTCAAAAATTACATAATTGGCTGCCTTTTGTTGAATTCTGTGGGAAATTTAAGTTTATTCTGTTTTCTCTATTTTTGTCGAACCACTTTTATCTCATCAACATACCCCATTTTTAACTCTACTAAGAATACAGAGAAAAATTTGAGTAGTCCTCCTATTTAAGTCTAGGTAGATTATAAAAGCTAGTGAAAAATATTTTATTTACGGTTTCAAATGTATTGCAATTTTCATTATTTGAAGTAATTTTTCAGGTTATGTTAGTCGATCATTCAACTACCTCTGCACAGTTGTCAGCTATACTTGTTTTTGATATGAATTGAATTTGCCTTCTAAACCAGATTTAATTAATAACTAACCGCCTGATCAACAAATTGTTTTTTGTAAAAATATTTTTGTAAATGAATTCCCGTCAAGCAGATTTTTGCAATTTCAAATTCAAAAACAACTTATCATGCATTAATTATAAATCATAATTAATTTTTTGATAACTTCGGTCAAAATTTGGTTGAAGCAGAATAAGATTTTTCTACGATTAACTAACACGTAATGGAACCTAAAAAACATCCAAACAGTTCAAATCTAGGTCCCGAAGAACCCCCCACCCTAAACATTCTGTTTCTTTATGAAGTTTTTAGTGCAGCTGTTAAGTTGCGATTGTAAAAAAAACAGACTTACAGGCGTTACTGCGCAGTTTTTGTTAGCTTATCAGAAAGTTTTTTGCTTTGCTCTTCTTCTAAAAAATTAGACTCTATTGGTACCTGAAGAGCCATTGAAAAATTTACGATGTTTGGTAAAAAATTTTACAGAAATAGTCGCAAAAGGAGGAGTCTCCTGGAAACTTTACTCGGAGGTGTTTTTCAATTGTTTTAGAAGAAATCAAAAAATGAGTTTGATCGATCTAAAAAAAATCGACGAAAGTTTCCTTAAATTTTTTTAAACATATTTCAAAAATGCTGAAACACCGCTTCTCAGGTTTTCTACAAACACGACATTTTATCGGTTGAATTACTTTTTTGTACGAGAACTAAATCAATATGGTGAGCTCTGCTTGAATTTTTTTCATATTTTTTGATATTACTTAAAAAAAGTCAAAAATTACATAATTGGCTGCCATTCGTTGGTTTCTGTGGGAAATTTAAGTTTATTCTGTTATCTCTATTTTTGTTGAATCACTTTCATCTCATCAACAAACCCCATTTTTAACTCTACTAAGAATACAGAGAAAAATTTGAGTAGTCCTCCTATTTAAGTCTAGGTAGATTATAAAAGCTAGTGAAAAATATTTTATTTAAGGTTTGAAATGTTTTGCAATTTTCATTATTTGAAGTTTTTTTCTCATGTTATATTAGTGGATCATTCAACTCCCTTTGCACAGTTGTCAGCTATACTTGTTTTTGATATGAATTAAATTTGCCTCCTAAATCAAATTCAATTAATAACTAACCGCCTGATCAACAAATTGTTTTTTGTAGAATTATTTTTCTAAATGAATTCCCGTCAAGCAGATTTTTGCAATTTCAAATTCAAAAACAACTTATCATGCATTAATTAAAAATCATAAACTATTTTTTGATAACTTAGGTCAAAATTTGGTTGAAGCAGAATAAGATTTTTCTACGATTAACTAACACGTAATGGAACCTAAAAAACATCCAAACAATTCAAATCTAGGTCCCGAAGAACCCCCCACCCTAAACATTCTGTTTCTTTATGAAGTTTTTAGTGCAGCTGTCAAGTTGCGATTGTAAAAAAAACAGACTTACAGGCGTTACTGCGCAGTTTTTGTAAGCTTATCAGAAAGTTTTTTGCTTGCTCTTCTTCTAAAAAATTAGACTCTATTGGTACCTGAAGAGCCATTGAAAAATTTACGATGTTTGGTAAAAATTTTTTACAGAATTAGTCGCAAAAGGAGGAGTCTCCTGGAAACTTTACTCGGAGGTGTTTTTCAATTGTTTTAGAAGAAATCAAAAAACGAGTTTGATCGATCTAAAAAAATCGACGAAAGTTTCCTTAAATTTTTTTAAACATATTTCAAAAACGCTGGATCACCGCCTCTCAGGTTTTCTACAAACACGACATTTTATCGGTTTAATTACTTTTTTGTACGCGAACCAAATCAATATTGTGAGCTCTGCTTGAATTTATTTCATATTTTTTGATATTACTAAAAACAGTCAAAAATTACATAATTGGCTGCCTTTTGTTGGTTTCTGTGGGAAATTTAAGTTTATTCTGTTATCTCTATTTTCGTCAAATCACTTTCATCTCATCAACGAACCCCATTTTTAACTCTACTAAGAATACAGAGAAAAATTTGAGTAGTCCTCCTATTTACTTGTTTTTGATATGAATTAAATTTGCCTCCTAAATCAAATTTAATTAATAACTAACCGCCTGATCAACAAATTGTTTTTTGTAAAATTATTTTTCTAAATGAATTCCCGTCAAGCAGATTTTTGCAATTTCAAATTCAAAAACAACTTATCATGCATTAATTATAAATCATAAACTTTTTTTTGATAACTTAGGTCAAAATTTGGTTGAAGCAGAATAAGATTTGCTTATGTTTTTGTTGCTATGAGCAACATCAGGTCTTTATTAGGCTAAACTGTAGATTCTACTGTGGGTTTCATCCTAGCGCAAACATTTTCTGCCAGTGGTCCTGATGGGGTGTGGGGGGTTTGCTTGCGTCGGCGCGCCGATAAACAAAAGGACTTTTCTTAATCAGTTTATCTATCGCGATTGGCCAGTTCTCAGCACGAATCAGCCTGATGTTCGGGATCCTCCCTACTTAAGCCTCTTATAGTAATAGAGTAAAAATGGCTAATCATTTTTGGAATGAGACAAAATCTGCATAAGTAAATCAAAATAGGACCGTATCTGTTACATTTTTCGCCTCGCACAAAATCTGCAGTGGGATGGAACCTGTTTGCACCAGCGAGACTATCCTCCTCCGTTTTGGCACCTTCTATGAGGTAAGAAAAATTGTGAAAACCCTCAGACAGTTTTGAGCTTGACTATACCTGCAGAACGACAGGGTGTTATCGGTAGTTCTGAAATCGTTTCAGGGTTTCGACCCACTGACTACCCTTTGATATTATTTTCGAACTCCAATTTTAGCTGACCGAATCTAAGACGCTATCGGTGCCAACATATACTAGTTTTGAAAGAAGAGCGAGTTTTCGGTCACGCTTGATATTTTTTTAGTCAAAACGAGATTTTTCAGTCAAAACCTTTGGTCAGTCGGGACGTTTTTGGCACGTTTTTTTTTTAAAATGCCTTCGACCTAGAAATTTTTGTCTAAGTAGAATCTTTATAGTGTTTTGGGATAGCTCCTAAAATCAATGTGGCCGATGTATAAAAACTTATCTTTTTTGAAATTCCTTCCTCGACAAAATCCTAAGTCCACCCCTGAAACCAGTAATGAAAATAAATAGTTTCCTATTTACTGACTTTTTGCTGAAGGCCAAACTGATATTGAAATCCATCAAATTCTTTGCCGGGAAAAAATCCGTATTGGTTTGCTCCGGGGTTTCCTCTGCATATCTTGCTTCCAATTCTAGGTATTCACAGTTCTGCTTCAGTTTCTGGAAGTGCTTCTCTAGAATAGCCCCAACTCTGATCGCCGAGTCACGAGCAATGTGTGGTGCCTCGTAGTCAAGGTCGACCTTGAACTGGGACAGAATAGATGCCTCGCTGATCAGGTACGATACTCTTTCTCGGAAATCAGACAGCGCCGGCAAATCGTCAATTTTTTTCATCTCAGAAGCTTGCAAGATAACTACGAAAACCACAAGATTTAAACACGCGTCCATAAGGCGTAAAAGCGACATAATTTTTTGTAACTGTTAAGATCTCTTCATTCACACTTCAGAAATACAAATCTGATATAAGTCTGAGATCAAACTTGAGTTATAAAATGAAGTTGGACCTTGTTCATCGCATATGATACAAAAAATATTGGATAATAAAACTGTCAATTTCTGCAAGTATGAGTTGTAATTTCAAGCACACTTGAATAATGAAACGCGGAAACTTTTATATATATTTTTAATCTTCTGAGGGAAAGAATATTTTAGTTTTTATGTCCAAAGTTGGCATTTGGAAGACAAAACAATAAATAAAATACCAAAATGATGCTTTTATTCTAATGAAGTAACCAAAAGGACAGCAACTAAGGGAAATAAGGCTGAAAAAGGGACAGGTATAAATTGGCCATAAAATGTTGAATGATTGACATTATTTTGACCAAGAAGACCTCTTTTTGAATTTTGATGGAAACTGAAGATAAATTGTGAGGACTGTTCTCTGAAAGCTTTTCTCGCGCAAGCTAAAACAAGACTGCTCTTATCATTGCAAAACTCTTATAAATTTTGCGACTGTGCTTTAACGACCTGATGAAAAAAAAACGATAAAATGTTCGGCAAAAAATTCTTTTTTTTGACTCCGTCTTACACGCTATGTAAAGTACGAATTTTGCATCTGGTAACATATAAACAAAACCGTATCAAAACGGTAATGCCCGCTTCATTTAAATTTGGACAGGTTTAATTAACCGCCTTCGCTTAGAAAGAACAAAATATATCGCGCGTTAATTTTCCCAATTTGAATCATAGGGGTTAAAATAGTCCCAATTTGAATTATAATGGCTAGAATAGTCCCAATTTTAGTCCGCTATAACTTTAGAACACCTGGTCGCAGTGTTTTTATTTTGATTTGAGCTTTTTGTCTTGGACAACACTTTTTTCTGATGGTAAAAAAAATTCCGTTAAAAATGGCTAGATAAAAATTTGTGTATAGAAAAAAAACATTCGAGCAAAAAGATTCGTAATTTTTATTGAAAGTCGCAAACGTAGCCGATAACAAGCCCACCGCCAGGTCAGATGGAGATCGATTTTTTTTTGCATTTTCTTAATTTATTTTTGATTTTTAGCAAAATGCGTTCAGAGGAATAAATAGGAACTTGTTAGGGTTTTAACCAGCGGCGGATCTAGAATTTTCTAAAGAAGGGGGGGGGGGGGGTTGAAAAATTTGTCGACCTTTTTCAAAATGATTTTTTGGGCACTCCCATAATAGTATAAAAACACTATTTTGACAAAAGCTTTTGTGCCGAAAAAACATGTCAAAAAGGCGCGCGCTCCCCTTCAAAATTAGAATATATTGGCGCCAAAGGAGCCTTTGGAAAAATTTTAGGGTTGGTCGGCCGAAAATGAGTATCATAAGATAACACAAACCTCACTAAACAAGAAGGTGGACCCTTTGGTTGGTGAGGAGGTCGAAACCCTGAGAAAGAAATGTCTGACCCCCGCCCTTCCCCCTTTTAAATCCGCCCCTGGTTTCAACGAATCTATTTGGCTGAAAGTTTTCTATCATCTGGTCCTTCCTTCTATCATCAAGAAATCATCCACGATTAAATTGATTTTCCAAGCTCGCTTAAATTACTGTAAAACCCTATTATGCTCTTTAAAAATGTGCAGCAATTAGTAGGAAAAATTTTGAAAAAAATGATCTTCAAGTTAAAATTTAGCATATATTGGAGGACAAGAGGAGGGCCCCTAGTTTGGTCAGTGGTTTGAATCCTTGAGGGGGTTGGAAGTCTTAATACCCCTCTTTGGTAATACCCTGTCATCCGGTAAGATATCAACCAATTTGAACTTTAGATATATGTGTAAAACGCTAATTTACTTCTGTGCAAATGATTTATGTTAAGCCTTGATGGCTGATTAATTAGTGGCCTTGTGTCAACGGTTAAAAATATAGACATTTTGCTTTTGAGCAGAATGCGAACTTTCGCTAAAATTGAACGTTATGAAACGGTTTCTCTTTCAAGACTTCATTTCAAGTATGACCCAAGAGACATGGAGGCACGAGTCTATCTTATTATTCTAAGCGGAATTAATCTCATTTAAGCGAGATCTATAACTCGTAAACACACGTTACCACACCCCACCTCTCTGTGAATTGTTTTCAAATTTCCCCCGCTCTTACGAAGTCAGTTTAAAAAAATTTCAGGTTAAATACTAAATGGACTCATTTTTTTCATCTCACTCAATTTTATAGGAAATTTAGCAAAAAATGTTCGAAACATTTTTCAAACATCGCTGAGCGCTATTTCAAATTTATTAAATATTGTCGCCGCAGCATTTACAAGCATGTTAGAATTATTTGGTCAAGTAACAATCTTTGACTTTAAAGGGCGACGTTTGGGCGACGTTATCTGGTGTCGGAGCGTTATGAGGGTTTCAATAAATGAGAAGATACTTATTGATTAATTATAAGCAAAGACTACACTAACCTCTTTACTATGAAGGCTTCCCAAAGAGAGTGAAAAAGGACTAGAAATGCGCCTATACAAGCTTTAATTTGGTTCTACTTTTCTCAAAATTTTTCTAACCGTCTCAAACACATCAAAACTGAGAAAAGCTGATTGTGGGTTTAAGATTTCTGCATGAGAAGAATTAAAAAAAGAAGTAAATTATGGTATGGTCAAAATAAGCAGATGATCTGGTAATTTTCAATTCTGAGGCGATAAAAAAACGTTTAGCAATCAATTAGACCTGCAATAGGAAACGAAAAAAGATCCCAAACATGGAAATAAAATCAATATGAATAATGCATCGATGACGCACATTGCAAAAAACTGTGAGCGGTAGTTTTCAAAAAAAACGTTGAGCAAAGAATAGGTTCATCAATAATAGAGCAGAAAGCTACCTCAAAATGTTTCTTCTGGTCTTTTTAAAGCAGTCTTTTTTTTAATAAAATTTAACATTCTCCTCAAAAACATATAAATTTGATGCGAGAAACTGAAATTTCAATGTTATAAACACAGTTATTTTTGTCTACTTTCTCAAAAAATTATACAAAATGCAAAAAGCTAAGCGTTTTTGGCATACCCGATTTAGGCTTTTAGTTTTCAAGCACGTGATACTTATCATAACAAGTATAGAAGTAAAATTTTTTGGGTCCATCCCTTTTTGATGTGGTTTTTTCAGATCTAATACTTCTGAGCTTTTGAAACTCGAAAGATCAGTTGTTGTGAACAAAAACGTGATTGAAGCTTTCCAACGGCTTTTCGTCTGTATTTTTTTCTTTAGCTCTTTGAGCATTTTCTCCAAATCGCTTAAGCTAGCGCGTGAGCTTTTCTCCAAATGGTACGTTGCATTATACACATTACAAGTTCAATTAATTTGTGCACTTTGCATTTGCTTTAAAAAATCAGCATGATTAAATTTTATCTTATTTAAAATTTTTACAAGCGGAGATGAAAAACGGTTCCAAAATATATTTTTTTAATTATTCAATTTTTGAGCTCGATCAAATTAAAGCTATAAACTCCTCCAATGAAATTGTCAAGTTTCAGTGGTGCATTTTTTAGGAAAATTGGCAGTATTGATTACTCTTTTAATGGATGAAAATCGTGGCTTTTTTCGGTGTGCGCCTCTCCCACAAAGTGGACGCCGTGAGAAACTCTAAAAAATGGAAAACATTTTTCGCTTAAAAAACAAATTGATGTGGTGCAAAACGGAAACTTTTGGATAGCATAAGCGTCTCATATGATCTGGAAAAAAAATCGTTTATTTGTAAAAAAAAAAAACTACCGCTATAAGTAAGATATTATAGACGATCAATTAGTTTTTAGTGACGGAACTGAAGCTAATAAATCACAACACAAAGATAAAGTTCGAATCTAATTTTAGTAGGAATCCGGTTCAATTTCCGGAATAAAAAGAGGTCAAAATATTAAAAAGATGATCGAACGTGGTAATGCAATTGTGTTAGAAATAGAAAAAAGTAAAAATTAGAAAAAGCTAAGAAAAATAGGCACCAGCATTCGTACGGTGCAAAAAACTATCAGAATTTTTTGATTACGAATTTCCAAATTATTAGTCTGATGTTCGACATCAAACTGAAGAAATTATTACTTCACAGTATTAAATGAGTTTGATAAACAATGCTATGCTCGTTTTTTTTTGAAATTTAAAGGTCCCTCAGAACATAACTTTGAACTAAACCGGGAAAATAATTGTGTCGCCTAGATCAGAAAAAAGTTTTGGTGCCAGCGGCCCGGAACACCAGCCAACTTCATATGACTTGATAAAAATAATACTTCATTAATAATTCGACCTTGATGCGTATGACTCTCAAATGACAATCAGAGAAATTTTGTTGGGTGTTGCAATAGAGAATAATCTCTTTATTGGTGGTAATATATTAAGGAACCCTTTTTTGGTCAACAACTCGAACTTTGTTCGAACATTATTTTACCGAAACCAAACATCTATTTCAACTGTGGTTAAGAAGAAAAAATATGATAGTCAGTTGACGATGGAAGCTACCTTCAATCATGTTTGACTGAATCTGAATTTGGATGATTTATTTGCTCACATCGCTAGTATTACATTTTTGCATAGCATAAGAATCCAAAGTTGAGCCTGTTTCCCATTTGTGGAGCTTCATACTTCATCATCAGAGTTGTTTTCTTTCAATAACTTTGTAAAAATATTGGTTTAACCGTAAAATATTTGCTGGCGTAAAGTGCGGGCCACAATTGACTCTAAGCGTCACTTTTCATGAACAGGCATCGACGAAACAGCTGAATATTGAGCCATGTTTTAATAATAATCACTGAGCAAAAAGTAATTTTCGAGAAAAATTTTTTCCGTGTAGAAGTACAATTTTTTGAAAAGATATAAGGGACGTTAATGACCGTTCTTTGTCTATCTCGGTTTTTGGGCACTCACTGCGACACTCGCCTTCTTTTTTCATTAAAGTTTTGCAAGAAAAAAGCTATAAACACATTTTAAAATGTTTCAGGCAAATATTTTGGATTTTATGTAGTCGTTTCAGCGTAACTCTTAATTTACCTTAAAAATGACCCATTTTTGGAATAAAAATTTGGTCCCATAATTCGCAAAATTAATCGCATTATTTTAATTATGGTAAAGTTCTAAGCAATTTTTGTTCTCCCGTTTTGTCTATTCTTTGAAAAAAAAACTTGAAAGTTTCCAGCAATGCTCGTTTCATCCGAATAATTTAAATATGGACTGCAGCTGCTATCATTTATGTAACTCATGGGCGGATTTAGGGGGGAACAATTTTTTGGTCAAATTGTTCCAAAAAATGCCTAAAAAAGCCTTTTTTTGCCTGTTTCTTCAAAATTTTGCCCGCGGCGCACAAAATTTGGCGGCACAGTGGCTTTTTTGTGCTATGGGAGAGCTCGGAAAATCAATTTGGTCGACCTAAAACAACTCGACAAAATTTCCAAAACTTTTTGAAAATCCACTCTCTCTCGAGAAAATCTTAGATGCGCCCCTGGTGTAACTGCAGTTTGACTTGACTCTGCTTGCTTGAATTGACTATAGCGATCTGTTGTTGTTCTTGAAGTTAGTATCAATTTTATTTTTCAAATTTTTGAGTAAATTTTTAACTAATTTTTGATGACAAAAAATGACGAATGACAAAGAGACGTATGGATAATTGATCGAATTAGGCAATAAACAAAAAATTGGTCCACAAATTGCTGGCACTTAAATTGAACGTAAAGAAGACTAACTACTGTAATGAAAAGAGACTCAATTTTCGGCCAATAATGTTTTTTCTAAACCGGTATTTTGCTTCTGATTTGTTTGCTTTACTGTCTCTCATAATTGTCTTTTAAACTCACTGCCTTGACAAACCCGTCTCATTGTCATTCACCAAAAAATCAAAAAATTTAAAAACAAGGTCAGTTTTGTTTTTGACTTATTCTTGATACGAAATTATTTTTTTAGCTTAATTTGTTTTTGCACTCTCGCAAATTATGTTATTTTCTTTAATTTACAAAAAAAAACAAGATTTTGGAAGAATTTCTAGCTTCGATCTGTTGTCAAGATGTACGTATTTGGCAAACTTGGTCCATTTTGATTAGTTAAAGTGCAATTTGTTGCGTTCATAGAGCATGCGTTGGCATTGAATCAAATCAATTTAAAAATTTCTATGCCAGCAATATGATCTTTTTTAAGGAAAAACGAGAAGTTGAAATACATTTTATTGTATTTTACACCGTGCGTGGGCGTTAAAAAGATAATATCATTCATTTTTCCATTTTTAAAAAAAATTTTTATCAATATTTCTTCAAAGCAAAATTTTTAAAAGGCAGCCGGAACGGAACATTCAGAGTTTTGCCATGTAATATTAGCAACTTTGTTGCAAATCTCTGAGAGTTTAAGTTGAGCCAATCAAACCATTTGGAAATAATACATCTCTATACTCGTCGTTGCAATAACGCGTAAGGAGCAAACAGTTCATTCTCAAACCTGTTTACCCGTTGAATTCAATACAGTTATTTGATAATTTTGATATCACCAAAACTGTAAAACTTCTAACGGAAATTTGCACATAGGGAAAAATTAAGAAATAAAAATTTTGAAATTTATAATAGTTTATAAAAACTGGTGTATTTCCTTCGCTAAAATTATTTCTAGAGCTTTGCCGTGATAAGAGCACTCTTTCAACCACGCCAATCTGTAAAATATAAAGTGGATAGTTTTGTGTCTGGCAATGCATTGTCAAAATAAATGGCTCCTCATTTCAATTTCGAATAATTTAGTTTGTTTTTTACGCTTTAAAAGTAGAAACCCTTTTCAATTTAATTTTCAGTAGTCAAAGAAGTCCCATCTTTAATCACCTTTAACTTTAGAACAAATATATGAAATTTTCTTGTTGAGTCCGAACTTTGAATAAAAATATTTTTCAGATAGTATAAAAAAGATGCGCCAAAAAATTTATTCAAAATTCAAAGTTTGTCTGCGGGAAAAGAAACAGCCCGAGCGAATTTATTCCGACTTTTTCTTTGAAAAGCCATTCTTTTCTTTCATGTGAGGTTTTTTTTATACAAGTGCAGATGGACAAGTGGAGATGCAAAAATAATCTTGAGTAAGTGGCTTCTGTAGAAGTAGTAACATAAAACTGATTTTTCCGTTCTTTTGCCTAATTTTTTTCAATTGTTTTGAAATTTTTTGTTCGGTAATTAGTGAAAACAGAAATCAAGCTTCAATTAAGTTTTCTGGTGGCACCTGAGATAATTTCCATCAACTAGAAAAACTACTCGCCAAATGCGAGTACTGAAAAACACTCATCAAAAATGGTCTGTGGCAAATAACAAACATACTTAGTTCAAGAAAATTGGATTAGAAAGTTGAAATTTGTGTTTCGGAGAAAAAAACTTGCGATGCTGTTTCCCCATTTTAAAACTAAAACTCAATTTTTAATTTTTGATCACCTTGGTGATGGAATTAATGAAACATCTGAAAGTTTCTTCTGTTTCAGTCTAGGTTGTCGCGATACTGAGAAAATTTTTTGAAACACATCCATTTCATGTATGATAGATCTTCAGAATCACAGTTGAAAAAACTCTGATACAGTCAGTAGCTGAATTAGAAAGAAGCAGATACCACTCCCCCACCTTTAGCCTAACCGCTCAGCAATTTTCTGCCCTGAATACCCGAAGGATTTCTTTTGGTTCTAATTTTAGACAACAAGTTTTGATGAACAGCCCAAAAAGTTTTACTTTTTGTAAAGGTGCGTAAGGCGCCAAAAATACAATTTAGAGGAAAGCGCGCGACTGGAAAAAAAAATTTTTTTGGTCGAAATCTTCCAAAAAGTTCCTAAAAACTTCTTTTTGCTTTTTTGTTTCAAAAAATTGACGGAGTGCAAAAAGTTAGGTATATTTAGAGTCTTTATACTGATCTAGGAGAACTCAGATACTCAATTCGGTTAATGAAAAAAAAATTCCTCTGTTTTTTGTTTGAAGTGCACAAAACTTAGGGTGATGGAATTAATGAAACATCTGAAAGTTTCTTCTGTTTCAGTCTAGGTTGTCGCGATACTGAGAAAATTTTTTGAAACACATCCATTTCATGTATGATAGATCTTCAGAATCACAGTTGAAAAAACTCTGATACAGTCAGTAGCTGAATTAGAAAGAAGCAGATACCACTCCCCCACCTTTAGCCTAACCGCTCAGCAATTTTCTGCCCTGAATACCCGAAGGATTTCTTTTGGTTCTAATTTTAGACAACAAGTTTTGATGAACAGCCCAAAAAGTTTTACTTTTTGTAAAGGTGCGTAAGGCGCCAAAAATACAATTTAGAGGAAAGCGCGCGACTGGAAAAAAAAATTTTTTTGGTCGAAATCTTCCAAAAAGTTCCTAAAAACTTCTTTTTGCTTTTTTGTTTCAAAAAATTGACGGAGTGCAAAAAGTTAGGTATATTTAGAGTCTTTATACTGATCTAGGAGAACTCAGATACTCGATTCGGTTAATGAAAAAAAAATTCCTCTGTTTTTTGTTTGAAGTGCACAAAACTTAGGGTGATGGAATTAATGAAACATCTGAAAGTTTCTTCTGTTTCAGTCTAGGTTGTCGCGATACTGAGAAAATTTTTTGAAACACATCCATTTCATGTAT